CCCAGCCTGCACCCTCTCCAATCTGGGACCTCTGGGGGATGTCTGACTGCCAGTGGGATCGGGCCTAAACTGGCAGGCAGACATCCCTCTCACAATCCGGGACTGCTGGCTCCCAGCCACTCACCTGCTTGCCTGCCTGATTGCCCCTAACTGCTCCCCTGCTGCCCGATTGCCCCCAACTGCCCTCCCTCTGGGCCTGGTCCCCCGCAACTGCCCTCCCTCTCCTGCAGGCCCGGTCGCTCCCTAACTGCCCTACCCTGCTGGCCTGATCACCCACAACTGCCCTTCCCTGTCAGCCATCTTGTGATGACATGGGAGCGACCACCTTGTACAAGGGTGTGATGGTCAATTTGCATATTAACTCTTTATTATATAAGATAATACATGGTATTTAAAGCAATGGAACTGGATGCAGCCATGCAGAAGTTACAACTTAAACAGATTTTTTAAATTACATATCTTGATTTTATGTGAAAAAAACTGAGACTTGTGGGGAAAACAACAGAGATTTGGGAAACAAATTTAATCCTAGATCACTAATCATTTTGGAATCTAAGCTGGAACCAGAACCCAGGCATCTGATACCCTGACTAAAGTTCTAACTCCTCTTTAAGACAACACTTTGAAGTGAAAATACTGACTTTTTAATCAGCTGCCTCCTGCACACCTCCTACTGGGGATGTGCCCGCAACCAAGGTACATGCCCTTGACTGGAGTCGAACCTGGAAACTTTCAGTCTGCAGGCCGAAGCTCTATCCACTGAGCCAAACTGGTTAGGGCAGTAGACCTCTTTTTATTGAGCTTTGCTTTACTGCACTTCACATTGTTTTTTTACAAATTGAAGTGTGGCAGCACTTCATATTCTATTGGTGCCATTTTCCAATAGGCCCAGATGATGGTTTGCATATTTTATTTCCTTTTTTGGTCTTCTCCTGCCTTAGATTCCAACTGAAACATTAACTCATTTTGGATCTCCCACCTGCTGGCTTTCAGACTAGAACTTATACCTAACTGCGGATCTTGAAATGTCTCAGTTCCAAAATTTCAGGAGCTAATTCCTTAATAAATATCTATCTATCATCTATCTAAAACAAATGTTTGTTTTTATATGTCAATAGTATCAACCAATGGTAATTGGCACCAATTCAACACCAACAGGAATCCCCAATTTGGGGTGAAGAAAGAAGCTTTATTTAGTGCCAACAGCTCAAAGGTAATACAGCGCGGCTGTGACGGCACTGCTGGGAACACCTCAATAGTGCTACCGTGCTGCTGTGCTGCACCGATGGGAGGCTGCCCTGGGGCCAGGGCCCTCTTCAGCTAGGCCGCTCCACTCCTCCATGGTCCATTCCACGCTGCCTTGCTCTGTGCCAGTCTGCGCCAGTCTGCTCTGGCAAATATCTTCAGTGTTTCAGCTCCAGCTGGGGAAACACAGTCTTCAGTCTTTGGTGGAAAGTGCACTCCTATAAAGTTTTTGTTGTTGTTAATCCTCACCAAGGATCTTTTTTCCATTGATTTTTAGAGGTGGGAGAGATAGAGACCGAGAGAGAAACATCGATGTGAAAGAAACATTGATTGGTTGCCTCCCACACGCACCCGACTGGGGCTGGGGAACCTGCAACCAGAATTGCACCTGCGACCCTTCAGTCAGTGTGCAGACGTTCTAACCACTGAGAAAAACTGGTCAGGGCTAAAGTATATTTAAATTAAGGCATGGACAGTGTTTTTTAGACATAATGCTACTACACACTTAATAGACTACAGTGTAATCAAAAATTCTCTGTGCACTGGGAAACCAAAAATTCTTTTGACGCACTTGATAAATATTCACTTTATTGTGGTAGTCTGGAACCAAACATGCAATATCTCCAAGGTAGGCTTGCAATTATAGTCCACCATGTCTCTAATACAACCCTTTTAGCAAACTGCCCTGGCTTCCAAAGCTGATGTTGATTCTAATTAACCTAATTCCGAATCTCTCATAAGCCTCTTGCTGTTTTTAGTACCGACTGATGCGCACCTCCATTTACACAACTAGTCTGATTGAAGCTACTGATCGAAGATGTCACCTCTGAACAACCATCTTAATCAATCCAGTTTTAAGCCATATACATATCAAGTCCCCGAAATTTCCAAAGAAAATTTTTTTTTTATTCCAGATACTAATACATTTTTTTCTTTCGATACTACTCAACACGCTTAAGGTGGCATCAACAGACACAAGTATCTTACAGCTCTTCTCTTTTAAAGAAATTTGATAATGATCTCTAATTACTAAAATTTATCATGTGTCAAGTTGCTAAATGGGGCCTTTTTAACTCAGACCTTCAGATTATGAGACTGACGCGCTGCCTACTGTGTTAAGGAGGCAGCTGCTTTAAATGGGGCCTTTTAAAAAAGAAACAGAAGTAAACATATGCAATTGAAGGCCCCTAGTGTCTTCTCAGAGATTGAGGGGGTTGTGACAAATCAGGGATGCTTTCCAAACCTCTGGATACTAGCCCTGGCTGGTTTAGCTCAGTGGATAGAGCTTTGGCCTATGGACAAGTGCATATGCAAGGGTTTTGGGCTTGGTCCCCAGTAGGGGGCATGCAGGAGGCAGCCAATCAATGGTTCTCTCTCATCATTAATGTTTCTATCTCTCTCTCCCTCTTCCTTCCTCTCTGAAATCAATAAAAAAATATTTTTTTAAAAAAAACCTCTGGATACTAGATTCATTGTGGAATCAGGAAAAAAATGTGTGCTTGTAATCTTATCCTAAGTCAGAAGACTAGACTTAAATTATACTTCTTCTACATTATTCTGATTAAAAATAAAGTGACACAAATCAAGACTGTGAGTAATAATGAAAAAGGACATATGTTTTTAATATCACAAGGATTAACTAAATAGACCATACAAAAATGTGTAAGGAAAAGTAATAACGAGCAATATAACACACGTTTTATACTCATTTAAGACAAACCTTACAAATATGAGTGTTACCAAGTTAGTTTATAGAACATTTATGCTATTGAGTTTCATACCTCAGTCAATTCTTCAAATCCCACTTTTATATCTAACCATTCTAGTCTAGTTTGCTTAAAAATACTCCTGAAAATTGAAAACTCAAAAGTGAAAATTTCCAATTCTAAGATTTTTAGAGAGAGAAAAACATTGATGTGAGTGTTACAGTAAAAGATCCTTCAGCCATCTCCTCACCGGCCAGGACAATAAAAAATTTTCATAAATAAAAATAAAGATTTCATAAATACCTTCTAATTTCATATGTATGGATCTTAATCCTTTCTCCCATTACAATGCTTGCACTGGAGTAAGGATTAAGATACTGACTCTCAACACCTTCAACAACAAAGATAAAATTATTTTAAAAAAGAGATACTGACTCAACAAAAGATACAATTGGCTACCTTATTTGGCTCTTATAAATGAAACTGTGCACACTTAACATTAGAAAATTCAGTTTCTTTCATTTTATTTTTAAGATGGCATCATTTCTCAGGAAAGAACAACCAAATACATGACACAGTCCCCAATTACAAAGGGCTGGCTGAGACCTTGTTTCTCTGCCGAAATACAAATCTTAGAAGTTAGGGAAAGGTGTAGACTAGGGATTCTAATTAAACAAGAAAAATCAGTTAATGACATTGGTACTCTATTCTTCACATCAGTATTAATGCAAACTCAATGCTTTTAAGTCAGAGGATCTGCCATTTCATTCCAAATCAAGTAGTTTTACAACCCCTACAAAGTAAAAGAATTACATAAAGATGTGACCCGATTTGCCTCCTTTAAAGACACTGCAATATGACAGAAAGTGGTTTTCTGTAAGCTTCTCCTGAGTTCTGCAGGCTTCATGGTACTTCAGAGGCCCAATACTCAAGCAGTTCATGACAAAAGATAAAGGTGAAAAAGTAGACACAGAGATCTGTGAAAACTTCACCCATTTTGCTGTACGTATCCATTGATCGATTTATCACTTCAGCAGGAATTCCAGATAATAGAAGTGCTGCTGTTAGTACTGTTGTCTTTATCTTCTTTTCACCCTGTACACAGAAAGACAAATAAATCCTACAGCTTTCAGAAGACAACTTAAACTCTACAAAAATATTATCAGTGCTATTTTTGCCTAACTGATTGCAAAACTGGTAATGAAGTTTCAAAATATCAATCAATAATATATCAACAAGCATTACAAACCTTTACTGAGCATATAATATGTAAAGCAGTAAAATGCTAAGCAGTAGGGAGAAAGATACCATTCTTGCTATCAACAGTTAAAAAAAGATAGGACAGGCCTAGTTGGTTTTGCTCAGTGGTTAGAGTGTTGGCCTGCGCACCCAAAAGTCTCGGGTTCCTTTCCTGGTCAAAGTCACCTGGGCTGCGGGTGAGGGAGACACCAGTCTATGTGTGTCTCTAACTTTGGTGTTTCTCTTTCTCTCTCTCTCTTTCCCACCTCCCTCCCTACCTTCCACTCTCTCTGAAAAGCAATAGAAAAAATCCTCAGGTGAAGATTAACAAAGAATAAATAAATAGCCCTAGTAGGTTTGGCTCAGTGGCTAGAACGTCGGCTTGCAAACTGAAAGGTCCCAGGTTTGATTCCGATCAAGGGCACATGCTCAGGTTGTGGGCTCGATCCCCAGTGGGGGAGTTGCAGGAGTCAGCCAATCCATGATTCTCTCTCATCATGGATGTTTCTATCTTTCTCCCTCTTCCTTCCTTTCTGAAATCAATAAAAATATATTTTAAAAAATAATAATAAATAAATAAAGATAGGACATAAATAAGTGCTAAATGAATGCCATGGATAATGTGTAGCATAGTGGCTCAAAGAAGATAGAAATTATTCCAGGGTTTTATATATAAATAAAGCACAGGGAAGGATTTCAGGAGAAAATGGAATTAAAAACAGGCCTTCAAGAATAAGCAAGATTTATATAGAAGTGAGGAGAAATCTTATTGAAAGGTAAGTTTCATGGGGAAAAAAGGGAACATATATAATACTTTCAACAATAAAGAATTATTAAAAATAAATAAATATACATTAAAAAAAAGAAAGCTAAGTCTCATGACAACAAAAGTCCAAGTGACAGGTATACTGGAGGACAGTGAGTAATTTTGTACCAGAATCATAGGAATAATTTGTAGAGCCCAAATTACCATGCAAAGCAACTCACACTTGATTATACATGCAATAAGATATTACTGAACATTTTACTTCCTAATATAATTTTCTAGCTTCATTTTTTAAGAGATTCAAGGCTGAATTTTCACTTAATTTACTGATTTGGTGTCACCAAATCCAGTCACGATTCAAAAATTTTAATAATATAAAAACCTATAGTTACCCAAAAGAAGTCTATGTCCACAAAAAGATTAATACAAGGAAATCCTTAGCTGCTTTAGTCATAATAACCAAAAATTAGAAACAACCAAAGAAGTCTATCAACAGATTAGATAAATAAATTAATATATTCATACAATGGAATATTATTCAGCCAAAAAAGGGGAGGAATAAATTATTAATATGGTTAACAACATGGATGATTATCAAAAATACTATGCAGAAGAAGCCTTGTAAAAAATGCATGTATAGGAATAATTCCATTTATATGGAGTACTAAAACAGAAAAAAGTAATCGATGGTGGGAAAAAGAAAATCTGAGTCTAGGGGCTGTGACTACAGCTGCCTGGAAAGGGGCATGATGAAATTTCCTGATAGTGATGTTCTAAACCTTGAAAGAATTTGGGTTTCATAGGCTGTCAAAACTCATTAAATGGTATACAAAGACTTGAGCAATTCACTGTATGAAAAATTTTACCATAAATTAAAAAAAAAAAAAAAGAGCCCTGTGCACTGAAAGGTTGCTGGTTCAATCCCCGGTTGGGGCACATATGGAAGGCAACCAATCAATGTTTCTCTTTCTGTCTCTCTCTCTCTCTCTCCCTCCCTTCCTCTCTAAGCATGTCCTCTGATGAGGAGGGTTGAAAAAGAAGACAAGAACAATAAACAAACACTGAATTGTAATGATATGTAAGCTGAAATGTGCAGGGGTAAAGTATGTTGATGTTGCGACAGCATGGATGTATCTGGAGATTATGATAAGTGAAATAAGCCCGTCAGAGAAAGACAAATGCCATATGATCTCACTTATATGTGAAATCTAATGAACAAAATAAACTGACAAACAAAATAGAACCAGAGTCATGGATACATGGTACAGACTGACAGATGTGAGAGGGGAGGTGGGTGGGGTTGACAGGATGAAAGAAGGTGAAGAGATTAGCCAAATATATGTGCATAACCCATGGACGTAGACAACAGTGTGGTGATGGCCAGAGGGAAGGGGAGGTGAGGGCTGGATGGAGGTGAGCAAAGGGGGGGAGGAACGAGGAACATTTGTAATAATGTCAATAATAAAAATTAAAAATTAATTAATTAAAATGGATAAAAAATTGGAAAGATACAAGATAAATATAATGAAATGTTAATTAGAGAATCTAGGTTGTAAGTATAAATGGGCGTTACCTGCACAATTCTTTCAACCTTTCTGTGTGTTTAAAAACTGATATAACAAAATGTTTATTTATTTAATGATGTAGAAAATCTTAATTTTTTTGAGGGGAAGAAAGAGAAAAGAGAGAGACAGAGAAACATTGGTTGGTTGCCTCTAGCATGCGCCCCAACAGGGGATCGAATCCACAATCTAGGTAAGTGCCCTGACCGGGAATCAAATCTGCCACCTTCTGAAGTACAGAATGACACTCAAACCAACTGAGCTACAGCAGCCAGGGTTGTTTTTTTATTTATTAATTTTAGATAGAGAGAAAAGATGGGAGAGGGGGAGAGAGAAACATCAATTTGTTGTTCCACTCATTCATGCACTTGTTGGTTGGTTCTTTTTTTTTTTTTGGTTCTTTTTTTTTTAAATATATTTTTATTGATTTCAGAGAGGAAGGGAGAGGGAGAGAGAGAGATAGAAGCATCAAGGATGAGAAAGAATCATTGATCGGCTGCCTCCTGCACGCCCCACACTGGGGGTTGAGCCCACAATCCAGGCATGCGCCCTTAACCAGAATCAAACCCGGGACCTTTCAGTCCACAGGCCGACGCTCTATCCACTGAGCAAAACCAGCTAAGGCCATTGGTTGACTCTTGTATGTGCCCTGACTAGGGATCGAACCTGCAACCTTGGCGTATTGGGACGATGCTCTAACTGAGCTACCCGGCCAGGGCTCTTCCAGAGCTTCTTTACACATATATAAGCAAAATCAAGTATCAAATATCTATGTTTTCTTCCCTTTTACAAAAAAGTATACTGTAGATCCTATTCTGTATTGATTGCCTCCTGCACACAACCTGCTGGGGATCAAGCTCGCAATCTGGGCATGTGCCCTGACCGGGAATTAAACCAGCAACCTCTTGGTGCATGGTCCAATGCTCAACCACTGAGCAACACCAGCCAGGCTTGATTTTTTTCTCTTAATATTTCTTGGCAAGCTTATCATTATCAGTACATGAAGAACTGAATGAGCAGGCCATAACTTTTTTAACTAGTCACTTATTAGTAAACATTGAGATTGTTTCCAGACTTCTGCTATTGCAAAACTACAATCAATGTTTCAAGGGTAAGTTTCTAAACAAATCCTTTTAATAAAATTACACTTTTAGAATATTTGACATCTCACTCCCTGGCATATGTTGTCAATTTGACACAAACTCTTATAAAAATTAAAAAAAAATATTACATCTTTGGGGAAAAAGGTCAATACTAGGAAAATATACATCTGTATCATCAAAAATAATTTTAATTAAAAATAACATTTCTTTTACTCCTTTACTTTGTGTATTTGACCTATTTGGCCTATTAAATATATAAATGTTTCAAATCCATAAAAAAATATGAGGTCTATCAGTGCATTACAAGCCATTAGTCAAATAGCTAAGTAGCCATTTCTCAGCAAAAAACTCACAGAAAACTCAATCACACAAGTAGGAGTATCTTCTATGCCAGCCAAGTGAAGTCCCATAAAACTGTGTATATACATCTGTAGTCAAGCAGACCAGGTAAACAATGATATTCCCCATAATTCTGTTCTACAATTTTGGCCAAATATTTCTTGCAAATATCAGGCCTTTGGCATTAAAGTCGAAGTGCATTGTTATTAAGTGTCCACTAAGGCACACAGTACCATAACTGAACCCATTTTAAAATTAATGTCCTTTATCATAAACAAAAATGTATTACTAAATCTTTACTAAGTAATGAAATTGAACACTTGTATATGTGCACTATTCAAAGTCTGTCTTGAGGTTTTTTTTCTCCCAATCCATGGTAGACCAACATTTTTGTAAAATATGATAAAAATGTTATGGCAATGTCCAATTGCTATAGAGTGTCTAATTACTCACTTTCTGAACTTCACTCATTACAAACAGAACAAAGAGTTTGATTGGTAGCCAATCACACTTTGAGTAGCACTGATTCAGACCATAAGTATAACAAATTTTTTTTAAAAGTTTTTCAGATTATCTAATCATTAATCAATCTAAACACAACAACATAATTTAGAAAAAAAATGTAATTTACCTTGGGAAAATATTTGTATAGTCCCATGTATGCAAGTTGTAAAGTAAGAAATGGAGCAAATATGGACTGTGAAGATAGAAGATACAATTATATATTTCCAACATAATCATTCAAATCACAAATCAAACTAATAGCAGCTATAAATTTTAAGTAACAAAACTAATAAAATATTTAATTTTAGTAGTTGAAAGCAGTCTTGTTTCTACAGAACAGTGAAGAAAATAAAAGGAATTGATTTATTATAAACATGTTTTTCAAGTCAAGTCACTCTCTAATTTTATTTTTTAATATATTTTATTGATTTTTTTAGAGAGAAAGGAAGATGGATAGAGAAATAAAAACATCACTGATCATTGATCAGCTGCCTCCTGCACGATCCCCCACCCCCACCCAGGAGATTGAGCCCAGAACCTGGGCATGTGCCCTGATCTGGAATCGAACCGGTGGCCTCTTGGTTCTTGGCTCAACGCTCAACCACTGAGTCACACCAGCTAGGCTCAAGTCACTCTCTTTAATATCCCCAAAAATGTCTTCCCTCATAAAAACTTACCTTTTAAAAAACTTAAGGCACCTGGCCAATGTTGCTCAGTGGTTGAGTCTTGACCTATGAACCAGGAGTTCAGGGTTTGATTTCCAGTCAGGGCACATGCCCGGGTTATAGGCTTGATCCTCAGTGGGGGCATGTAGGAGGCAGTCAATTGATGATTCTCTCTCATCATTGATGTTGTTATCTCTCTCTTCCTCTCCCTTCCTCTGAGAAATCAATAAAAATATTTTAAAAAATAAAAAACTTAAAAGTATTCACCCTGACTGGTATTGCTCAGTAGATAGAGCATCAGCCCATGTACCCAAGGGTCTTGGGTTCAATTCCCGGCCAAGGGTACTTTACCCTATTTAGAACGAAACTGCCTGGGGTTAATCCCAGCTGTGACTTAAGAGCTGGTGATACTGGGCAAATGATTTAACCACTATGAGTCTCCATTCCCTCATCTATAAAACAAAGATTCATAAGGATGAGGTTAAATGAATCAATATATGTAAATCACTTAGAATGGTGCCTACATATAGGGGGAATTTAATAATTATTATTAGGCTCTGTATTTAACCAGCATACCTCATTCTATAACTAAGGTGAATAGCCGTTTATAATACCTCTCCAAATAGCCCTGTGAATCAGGCAAATATTAAGTTAATATTGGCAATGAATTCTGTGGATTAAAAACACCCATTACTATAACTAATTTTCCATTATATTTCTTACCAAATATTTGCAAACAAAAGCTCTGACTCCAAAGGCAAGAAGAGCACATCCCACCAATCTAAATATTCGGAAAGAGTCAAATTCTTCTGTTGTATTTCCATCCTCTTGATTGGGTTTTTCACTAATTAGTTGTTTCCTTAGTTTCATTGCTTCTTCAAATCTGGAGAGGTACTGTTCTAGGCCATGGCGAGAGCCCCTCTGGACAGTGTCCGCTGTCAGGTCCCCTCTGTTTCGCTGCCGGAGCTCAAGGCTTACATCATTACTGCCCTCAGGTGGTTTAATGAAAGAGTCCAGTTTGTCTCCCAGCTCCGTCCCCTTTACCTCTGCCACACCACTCTGCTGGTCAGCTGTTCCTGTACTGACGGAATCACCCAGCACTACTCGCTTTGAAACTGAAGGAATGGTGAGGGAGTTCAGTTTATCACTGTCCTGTTGCTTTAATTTTGTTTGACTTTCTTCTTCTGAGAAAAGAAATTTAGAAACCTTATGTATTACATATAGGCAAACACCGATCGTAGTAATATTAAAAAATGCACTGAGCTAGAACTCTGAATCTAAATTAATACTGATTTTGCATAAAACATAAACTAGTTTCCCTCTACATCCTCAAAATGTATCACTCAAAAAGAATATTCCTGTAGAAAATATAATCCAAACTTTGGGGGTAAAAGGCTAGTAAAAAAATTGGAAAAGATAGGCAGGGAGAGAACACGCTACAAAGACCAAGTTTTCATGGATAAAACATCCCTAAAGTATAGTTGCACTGCCTGCTCTAGCTTCTTTGGTTAAAAACAGAAAATTATTAAAGCTTTTAAAAATCTGTACTTTAATATTATATGTCTGAATCCAGAGCCCTGTCAGCATAGGGTGTGGCATATCCTACAGCTACTGCTTACGTAATCCTTCTACTGTAGTCAGGGAGCCATTCGTAGGGACTTAAGCCATTTGAAGATGCTGTTCTGGTTTAAAACAACAGGAAACCTTAATGGCAGGTAACATTTTCAAAGCAAAAGAACAAAATACGGAACATACGCCTCAAGAAAGATAGTAAGTGCTTTGGGAAAGAATAAACATGCTATTAATCATTAAAGGAAGGGATAGTTTTGTAACTACTGCTGCGGGAGAAGTTGAAATCGTTCTCTTACCTCCTCCTGGTAGTTTTCAGCGGCAGACCTGAAGCTCAGAACTACACCTACACCCACAGCCCTACCGAACGGAAGGCACAAAGATCCAAGGGGCTGGCAACCAAAGCCGGTTGCTAAAGGCAACACTCCATGGAAAGTTAGAGAACACTAGCACGTACTAGGTGTTCAATAAATATTCACATAAAATAAACAGTCACATAAAAATGTTTTAAAGAAACTCACTGCCCGTGTCCCTGGGGGAGAAATGAGGCACTCACTCTCCCTCGGGCGAAAGGCGGTGCCTGGCATCCCATCGAGCTCACACTCTGGGGGAGAAGACCTCTGGCGGCGGGCACTCCCACTTGCTGGGTGTATAAAGAACGGTCGCCCCAATTTTTTACTAGTAGGCCTGTGGGTGACAATGCTGAGGGCACTGAACACCAACTGTACGAGTCCCTGACCCACGCAGGGAGGACTAGCCGGCAGCTCTGTAAAGACAGCTCATGTGGGCCGACAGTTACAGCAAAAGGCAAAAGAAGGCGGACGCCAGGGAAGGCGCCGGAAGGGCGCGCACCGGGTACAATGGCAGAGCAGGAGCCTGGGATGCAATGTGCGCCCGCAAGAGGCCGGGGTGGGAAGGCGGAGGGGTGGCCTGGGTACACGGGGCAGGGAGCACCCAGGCAGACGGACTCGGGAGCGAAGCTTCGCGGTCCGCGGCAGAGGCGGGACAACCCCCGGAAAACTGAGAAGAGCAACTGGAAGGGGGTCAAGAAGTGAGAACTTGGGACATCACCCGAAGAACAGGCAGAGCAGGGCGTGGTCAGAAGGTCGGCGGGGTGGGCAGGGAGAGACGGGTCCTCCAGACTGATCCTGGCGTCCCACAGTGATCACAGAGAATTTGGAAAGGGCGGGCGGGACCCCGAGGGGGAAACGGAGCTTCTCACCCGCGCTGCTCCCGGGCCTGTGAAAGCCCATGATCCGGTTGATGCGCTGTTCCGAGTTCATGAGCAGCTTTCTCCGCCGCAGCTCGGCCCGACGCTGGGAAGCCGACAGGCCAGAGCCAACCGGGGCCCCGGGCCGCTCCCCGCTGTCCGTAGCGACGGTCACGGGCTCCATCTTCCCTTCCACAATCTGGGAGAGGCGATGGGGGAGCTGGAGGCAGCAGCAGC